CTCCCCCTTTCTGCTGCTGCCTCTGGGTAGCTCCAGTTGTCCAGCTGGCTGGAGCACTTCTGGGTTCCAGTTGGTGCCGGACTATCAGGAGTGCCGGACCACTGGATGCCGGACTATTGGAGTTTTACTGTATATGGATGAAATTTACTGTGAGATGGAAATAGAGCGCCGAGGAGCGGTGCTGCGGGGACCTACCCGGCAGCGCCCCAGCTACTCTGTCCCAGGCATCCAGATTCAGCCGCTGTTGAAACTGATCAGCGGCTGAATCCAGGAAGCCCAGGGCAGAGAAACTCTGCCTCGGGCTTCCTGTAGTCAGCCGCTGGTCAGTTTCAGCAGCAGCTGAATCTGGACGCCAGTTCCGACTTACGTACAAATTCAACTTAAGAACAAACCTACAGTTCCTATCTTGTACGTAACCCGGGGAGCATCCAGATTCAGCCGCTGTTGAAACTGATCAGCGGCTGAATCCAGGAAGCCCAGGGCAGAGAAACTCTGCCTCGGGCTTCCTGTAGTCAGCCGCTGGTCAGTTTCAGCAGCAGCTGAATCTGGACGCCAGTTCCGACTTACGTACAAATTCAACTTAAGAACAAACCTACAGTTCCTATCTTGTACGTAACCCGGGGACTGCCTGTATTTCTGATATAAAGTGTAGTGGTATAATACACATAAAATAGAGATCTGAAGTGAGAAACATGGGTAAAAGTTGGTTTTCCTCAGAAACACTGGAGGTTGATTAGTGATCAAGGTGGTGAAGAATGGAGGTGGGGAAGCAAAAGTAAAATAGAATGGGAAGGGAGACATGGGTGGAAATACACTGAGGTGAGAGTTAAAGAGTTTGCTTCTGCATCATGTGTTGAGGCCTGAAACTCTCATTATGTCCCTCTGAAACTTTCTAGGCTCGTTGAAACCCTTTCTTCATCAGCAACACACGCATGATCCTTGATGCTGTCACAGGGAATGAAGTCAGAAATAAGATCCTTGTTCAACACTTCTCCCACGTGTAACAGCAGCATTGAATTGTGCCTGTGATAGTCTCACTCAGACTGTCTCCATAGCTCGGGTGGGAAGTGGGAAGCTGACTAGCTTATATCAAATAACACTGTTACTTCTATTGACTGTTGGGCAGGCACCGTCCACAGGAACAACAGAACTGGAGCAATCAGCTAGAGTATATCTATACTGCACAGCTCTTTTGGGATACCAGAGGTATCCCGAAATAGCTACTCCGTGTTTGCACAGGCTGCCTGTTATTTTTAAATATTTTTCAAAATAACAGGCGCACTTTTTCATCATCCTGGTAAACCTCGTTACACAAGGGTTAAGGGATGGCTTGTTATTTTGAAATTTGGCGCTGTGTAGACGCAACAAACTTCAAAAGAAGCTATTTCAAAATAGATTCGAAATAAGATACGCAATCTGTGTAGCACAAATTATATATCTTATTTCAAGTTTAGGGTGCTGGGTAGATGTATCCCCATAGTCCTGTCCTGACAGAATTAAAGTTTACTGTCGTGTAACAACAGTTCACATCATGGTGTGAGGCAAGTTTTCAGGTTGACGTTTAAAAATTGTTTTCTAGAATGAGGATACTTCTAGAAAGAAGAGATCAGTTTAGGCTGCATGAATCTCAGAATGCAAGGTGAGATTCTGATCTCACATTAATTCTACACCAGAGTAGCTGGAGTTACTACTGGTTTATACCAATGTAACTGAGAAGGTCAGGTATCAAGTATATAACCCCAACACTATCTTGAAAATACTAATGCAAGGATATAATTTCATTGGCAATTGAACTGTTTCTATGTGCAATTTTTTTTTTCTTTTAGGATTTTACTGTATTTGGAGGGAGTTTGTCTGGTGCCCATGCCCAAAAGATCTGCAAGGTAAGAGGAGAAAAAAACAAGTTGCCAATGACTCCCTGTCACTATATTGTGCTACTGATTTTAATAACCAGATCTGAGAATGACTTGGACTTTTCAATTTGCTAATAACGTAAGGCAAGGTGCTGTTGCTACTTTGAGAAAAATACACCTCTCTTATTCAGCCTTTACCGTCTTGTATTTTTGTACAATATTTCTTCCCCTTGTCAGTTCCTAATGTACTTTAAATTTATTTTCCACTTCTTCCACATGTGTGTTTACAACATGAGAGCTAATTACATGATCATGTACTGTTAGGTTTTTTATGCAGAGTTACGCCATATTCATTTCACAGGTTGGGTGGAGAACACTGTAAAGCAATGTGCATATAGCAGATAAGGCAGGGGGTTCTTGCATTGTTTGGGTGTTGCACTATGAGACAGGGCACCCTCACTGAGGATAAAATTATTGTACCACTGACTACCTGAATGTGAATCATTTAATTTTCATGCAGAATGAGACCAAAGATTGTAAGTGATCATGCAACTGAAGACTATGATAACCCACACACCAAAGGGTGGAGTTAAGGTTACACAAATGACTTTAATTGTAGCATTTCCTGATCTTTGAATGATTCTTTTTGTAACTGTGTGAGTTTAGTATGGAGTATGTAGTTATTTTATTCTGTTGGAGGTTTATTGTGTGTGTGGCAAGTACATAGTAGTAAACTTAATTGACTTCTGCTGTTTTTTCAGCTTTAGCTGGATCTTGTCTAATCAGCAGCTTATGTGTTTATCTTTAGATCATGGATCAGGCTGTCATGGTTGGGGCTCCTGTAATTGGGCTGAATGACTCTGGAGGAGCCCGTATCCAGGAAGGAGTAGAGTCTTTGGCTGGCTATGCTGATATCTTCTTGGTAAGTGACCTAATGGATGAGATATACTGATGAAAAGCACTATATAACATCTATTATTATTATACAACGGAAATATAATAGACTACCTTCTGAGTCACATTAACGTCTAACGTCCTATGCATATGCTGAGATATATGTCAGAAAAGAACTTTCTTTAAATCAGATTGGATCTCTGCTCTCTGCTTTGATACTGGTGGACCTACTCTCTCTTAAGGCTTTGTTCTGTAGCTTGGTAGTGCATGATGCTCTCTAATTATCCTTGTGCACATCCTCACTTCTGACCAAAAATCTAGTCCGTTCCTCCTTGTTTGTAGTTATTGAATACAAACCCAGCAAATAGCATTTTATAGCA